TATGGAAGTTTTTCGATTCGAAGAACATCGAGTGTGTTGTTTGGAGATTTAATAACTGGTTACATTTTTTAATTGCTTTCTTATGTATCGTATGGTACATGTAGTTGTTCCTTTAGTTCTTGTCAGTAACATTTCAGTTTGGACGTAACACGCGATTATTATGGTATTTTCTCGGTAGTTTAAAAATACCGGTTGTTGAGATCATTTGTAACTTAAAAATGATCTTTACTGACGTTCCATTACTCAGTTTCATGAATATCATTTATTATACGGGTCTCATTTTTTTTTTTTTTTAATATACATAACATGATATTTCATTTTGCTCTTTATGCGATACTTGGATCTACTTAGGCACGAGTGAAATTTTTTGTGAATATTTTTTTTATTGATGAAAAAAATTTTATCATAAATTAAGCTATGAATGTATTTGACAATAAAATTAGGAGATATTAGTGACTGAATTTTTTCAAGATTTTTGGAAATTTAGAATATTAATAAATTTTAGAATGGACATTTATTGCTATTTTATTATTTTTGAAAAAAATTTGTTAAATTGAATTATAATAGAAACATGTTATAATGTAGATATTACTAATTAAGTAATTTTGAACATTTTTGATTTTTTAAAAGTTAATATTTTAAAAGTTTTTAAAAGTCACAAATCAATTTTGAATGAGTGTTTTCTGATATATTATATATAAATTTATTTATTAAACACTAATATTTCTGCAATCAAATTTATATATATATCGTATTAAATTGTCATTGTTATATTCTCAAATCTATTTTTTTATCATCAATTTATCCAAAACAATATTCCTTAACATTTTTTTAAATCAAGATTTCTATTTATAATAACTGATATAAATTATAATCCCAAAATATTTTTGATAAGATAAAATAAATTTAATATTTTATTTTTAGAGAAATGTCATTCAAAATATTTTAAAAATATTAATAAAATATTAAAAATCTGTTATAATAAAAATATTTAATGTTTGTGTATGATTATAATGAATATTTAATATTTGCATTATCGTTTAAAATTTTGAAAGTAATTATATTTTTACATGAAATAAAAAAACTTTTTATAAATAATTATGAATGTAATCAATTATGATAAATAAATATATATAATTATTATAAAGAAAAATTAATAAATAAAATTTGTTAGAGATAATCAAAAATAAATTTGATAAAGCAAATATTTAATTTTGACTTACACTCATTTCACTACTTTCGAATGCAGACATATTTAAATAAGTATTAAAAATTGTTATCATAATTGTTATCAAAATTTTCTATATATATATACATCTAAAGAACTATTGATTTGCAATTCACAGATTCGAAATTACTGTTTTCTAAATAATATAATTATATGAAAATTCGTGTTATCCACTCTTCAAAATAAAACAACACATTATCCGTATAATCCAATTTCAATTACCATCAAAAACTAATTTCTAAAATAATCATCGTTCCAAAATATTGAATATTCGTATTTCCAAAATTATTGAATAACTTTTCGACCTTGAATGCTCAGTAGATCATCGGTTAAACTTCGTCGAAAGTCATGCACTTGGCTCTTTCACGAAGATTAAGCCACGGGGAAGCCACGGCTGCCCATTCATGATCTTCCCCGGCTATCGAAGTGTCGCCATTTGGACGAAGGCCAGGGAAGAATCGCGACACTGTCCCTTCCGACGTTCCATCTGGAACCACGTCCCATTCTGTCCTCTTCCGTTGTGCGTTCGTTGTCGATCCTCTCTTCAGCGTCCAACTAAATTTAGAGATCTGTCGAGGGTGTCTCTGAGATTCTCTCGTCTCCTCGTGCCTCTGAATTTCGAGACAGAATTCGTGTTCGCGATTTTCAAGTTCGATCATGCGAATTATTCGTCTTTGTGTATTTTGTTATAACTCTTTTCCACTCGATACTCCGTTAATAATAGAAATAATTAAAAGTATCGTAAAGAAATATTTTATCATGGATAATTAAAAAGGAATTTATCTGTAAAAATATTTAATTCTAAAATAGATTTATTAACACTATGATTGGATGCGAGTAGTTAATAGTCATGTGGCGCTAGTATCGCGTTACGTATTGATCATCACAATATTAATTTTGCATGACTTTTGATCGAATGATATATTTGTAATTGTATTTAATGGAATTATCAGATTTGACAAGTTATAGAAATATTGAAAATATAATATATTTTTAAATGTAATTTTCGACTAGTTAGATATAAAATAAAAAATTTTGCAATATACTAATAAAAATAAAAAATCTTCTAAAATAATTGAATGTTAAATTTGAATGTTTTTCTTATGAAAATTTAAAAAATATTTCATTATTCAGTATTAAATCTATTCAGTTATATTTGATTGATATCATTTTTAATAAAATTATAGATATTAAATGTTTCAAAAATCTCATTTATATGATATATTTATAAATGAACGTAAATTATATTTATTGAAATTTTCAAATTCGAACGCAACTATATAATAATACTAAGACGTTGAAATTTTATTTGATGAAAAATATTTTATTATTTTTAAATTTAATAATTCGAAGTTAATAGAATTCCATTTATTAGAATTTGTAATTTATCGAATTAAAAATCAAAATAAAAAGATATTAGAATATATTTAAAAATTCTATAACAAAAATTATCCTTCACCTTGATAAATATATCTTTATTAATTCCAATCAATATCTCTAGAATTTAATTGTAAAATAAAAAAATTAGATTATTGACGTAATTAATCTCTTAGAATCAAATCTAAAATAAAATTCATTTTATTAAAATTGTTAAAAATTAAATATTAATTTCAATTTATTAAATTCGCAAATACCATGAATTCTTTTTCAAGCAAGATACCTTAAATGCCTGTAATTAGCTTCGCTGAAACGAGGTCTATTTATCATCCCATCTCTAGAAACATAGGACGAATTCCATCTCGCCCACTATTTCCTGGTGTCGATGTTCTTTCGTTTAAGAGTGCACAGCCACTTCACTTCCATCTTGGTCTCATTGTTTTCGTGATTTCTTCTTTCGTTTCGTGTCTAAACATCCTCGATGTTCATGTACAAACGACTAATTGTCCTCGAGAGCTCTCTTTCTCTCGACGGAAGTTCAACGAGTTTATTGTCTTTACGAGTTCCGTTCCCGCTTCTTTTTCGAGACACATCGTCACGTGATTTT